GAAACCCGAATTCTAGCGTTGTAAGTCCGCAGACATACCGCTGTGCCACTGGGGGGCAAAAAACAAAGAAAGATGGATCAACTTGGACCATCCAAGAAGTGCAGCGTATTGCAACAGGTGAGAATCCAAGAATACAAAGGTCAGTAGTACGTGAACATAATTAAGAAGGATCTCTATCCTGACAAGCGAGAATGAAACAGGTATTCATGCTATTCCATATGAATACATACCGGTAAAGTCGCCGGAAGCAGTGCCTATATATTTCTGTGCGATCGGGCTGTTGAAACGGGGGTTGGGAAATCGTCGTCATCGTACACTAGATGGATTATGAAAGGTAGCATGGACGAATGCTGTGTTTTTGACATTACAACCTTATGCCAGAGTCCTTTACGATGCAAACTTCACTGCACGGCTATTTTCAAGATGCACAGTTGTCAGATAGAGTGTGCTTTGACGTGGCGACATGGACTGTAACGACGTAGTAAAGCTCCAAACTCTAATTTTAACTCAACCTCTGAACTTGTATACGTGTAACCCTAAGTTCAGATGCTCTAGTACTTTATATACTTTTCATAACGCTGTATTATTCAGTTAAGTTAGGCATGATGATTTGGAAACTTAAATCGAATGTAATAAATAATGTCTATCACATGGATAATACCAAAACGTTTCACTATATTAACTGGATAATCAACAACCCACTTATCTCGACTCTTCGTTGGCTTCATATTCGGCTCTTCTGTTAAGATTTTAGTAAGGAAAAGTGAACCATTATCAAACTAAACCCTCGAAACGGAAGCCCACAAAGTCTTTTTATATAAAACACCGCACCCAATACGCTGCTTGATAATAACGTATAAAAACTGAGATTGGCCATTTCTCTCCATCGTCACAGACACATCTCATATTTTCACCCACGTGACTTAATAATGGAAGCTGCTACTCGTGACGTCATGGCACGAGCTTTTAGGTGGAAAATAATAATTAGACATAATTTCAAAGTTTTATGATGAAACTATTTGTGGTACACGAAAACTATAGATTTTCAGCATCTGTTTCTAACAAAAGTTGAAAAAAAAAGAATTCTTACGTAAATCTTTGAACCACTTAGTAAAATCTAAAGTTGAATGCATATATTATACATATAATGATAAAATAAAAAGACACGTGTTTGCAATTACATTTCTATTTCAAGCCTCTCAACTAACACCACACATATAACGATTAAAGCAAACAAAGTATCCAACGAACAATAAATACTTTTCAAAATACACATTAATATAGAGATATAAATATACAGGTAAATAAAACTGTAATTGAAGTCAAACTAAATTAATTAGTTAATAAAAGATTGATGATAAGTTCTAAAAAACAATTTTTAGATTCCACTGTTTTCTAGCTTCAATAGCGATTCAAACTTTATATTATAATATTGTTCATAAAGTAGCCTTTTTTCTTTCTTTCATTATTGTTACATCTCCAGGATGGAAAACCAAACAAAAAGGGGACTGTCAGTGTTGCAACACTCAAGGATATTGTTAACGTTAGAATACTCGAGGAACTGTCAGTGTTGCAACACTCAAGGATATTGTTAACGTTAGAATACTCGAGGAACTGTTAGTGTTGCAACACTCAAGGATATTGTTAACGTTAGAATACTCGAGGAACTGTCAGTGTTGTAACACTCAAGGATATTGTTAACGTTAGAATACTCGAGGAACTG